CAGGGGGATGGCACCCCTTGTAAAGCATCCCTGTGCTCTCATGAACAACCAGCCATTTCACATGGCACTCTCAGGCCATCATGCCCTTCATCTCAGTAAGATCTTTAAGAGTTAATGGTTCCTACTGTGTTCCCTGCACTGTGGCTGTTCAGGTCCCCCACACATATTTTTGTGTGTAACCCTTGCAGGAGGTTTGGCCATGTAGCTAACAGAGGCACACTTGAGCACTGCCCACGTAACCACACATCCCTTTGTCCTGGTTCATGTGCAAACACAGAATAGCTGTAATTCGCATATGTGATTTGTTTTTGAGTACAGTATATTGCTTTTTTCTGAAACTTTTTCTTTTTCTTTCTTTTTTTTTGTCAACTTTCTGCATTGGCAGAGCATCTTGGGATTGAATTTATGGGTATGGACCAATCATTCCTTTTAGCCTGCAGATTTTAGAGCCTGAAAGATAAACCCCTTTTTATTTTTTTTCTTCACCTCCCCTTTTTAATCCTAACCAATTCCTTTATGCTTTAGAAGGGATCATACAGCTATAACAACAACTTTTGTCAAAATGTTAGCGGAAATCAGCTCACTAAAATGGTAATAATAGTGATATAGGATATTCCAGACCTAAGGAATTCTAGGAATTACTGAAGTAATGATAACATAACGTATATTTATTTTTCTGCTGTGTAGTTTTGACTAGTTTTGACATTTGCTTTTGCTAAATTCTTCTAAGGTTGCCAGATTTTGGAAACACTGTAAGCATTAGCAAAATTACTAACTAACTAGTCTATAAAAAAAAAAAGATAAGCTGTTATAGTCACTTAAAATTCTGCAAACTTACAGTTTCAAGTTCTGCTTTCCAAGTAAAGTTTTATGTCTAAACCCACAGCTAGGTATGCAAACCAGATGCATATACTTATGTGTAAATGACATGCATATATACATTCATTTCTAGGTCTGTAAATTAGAAAATAACTGAAAGTTACTTAGAAACTTCAGTAGAGATTCATAGCTAGACTCCAGATCCTCAAGTCAGCAAATATATTCAATATATTAAATACCAAACTCCTCTTGCACCCAGCCAAGAACATTGGCAGTAGGTACCATTTTTACACTTCAGCTTAAATATAATAGAAACAGATCTTATAAGTCTTCTTCATGAATAGACTGTACTTATTTGACTAACATTTAGCAATCAGGGGTACAAATAATGCATCTCTTGAATAGGCTAACTTGGAATTTAGGTCAGTTTTAGTTTGGAATCTCCTAAAATTGTCTGTAAATGAGAAGAACCAGACAGTGATGTTTTTCACACAGTTTTAGTTCATGTTTTTATTAAAAATGCCCTCACAAAATGTCATTAGCTCAAGCTGTGAACTGTGGAAAACCCATTACAAGTCCAAATTTAAAAAATCTCTTCCAACCCAGTTTATTGTCATTATTATTGTCACAAGACAATATTAATTCTCACTCATAAATACTAGATTGTAGTAGAAGATATATGGCTGTATTAACATATGAGGAATTAAATTAAAATGCTTTAAAAAACTGACTTGCAAATTTTGCTTCATATATGAAATTACATCAGTGGAACCACCTCTTGCAATTAAATTCTTTCAAAAATCCACAGAGACCTGTAAGAAGAAAAACTTTTAAATAGAGCAAATTTAAGACCATATATATCATCAATTATGTATAAATTATGGTGATGTAAAATGAATTGCATAATGTGCATGTTCAAAAGGCTGCACATAGAGGGATTTAAGATCTTTAAGTGTCACATTGATTTGATTTTCCTAGCATTCTGCAGGGGGAAAAAAAATGTATTCAAATGATTTTTAATATTTAACAAGCGAAAATCTTCACTAAATTCTCACTGCACATACATTTCTCTACAGACTTTTCCCCAAGGCTGCTGTTAATTTTTCCCAAGCTAGTCTGATGAGCGCGGCAAACACAGCCTGTGTTATTTGGCTGGGCGTCATTAACTGTCTCAGTAAACGTTAACACTGGTCAAAGGGAGAGGGCAGTTTTGGGGCGAGACCCAATATAACTGCACATGCCCTGTGGGCGTTTGGTCCCTGCTTCGCAAAACTCTTCTGGCCTTGAACAGAGAGGCCAAGGCTCATCCTCAAGGTGCCATGCTGCTTGCAGAGCCATGGCCCAGATCCCTGGCCTGACCTGGCTTGTCCCAGCCACCAGCATCCCCTGCACCCCTCGGCAGCACCCCCAGGCAGCCCCTGCTGTCCTAGGCAGGGAGGCCATGTCAGCCAGGAGCAAGGCCAGCTTCACATGGGAGCTTGATGGTTTGCCAAGCAAGAAATGCCCAGACATGCGTGCCTTCCCCAGCAGCCGTCCCTGCCATGGCTCGAGGAAGGGCATGGCGGTGCTGCTGATCATGCACACCATGTCAAGCTGTATTGTCCTAAGGGCCTCGTTTCGAGGGGCACAGGAGGGACTGAAGGCAGTGAAAGCAGACCCAGGGGTTTACCCCTCCAGTCCCCTCAATACCTACAGTCCCAGCAGACATGGGGGTGCAAGGAGCATCCCTTGCTGCATCCCACTCCCCTGCAGTGCGGGGAGCATCCGACACACAAGCAACAAGCCTCAACCCACTGGCACGCTTAGCAAGGCTGTCACCAGCCAGCTGCCCAGCTTGTTTGCAACAGCCTCAGCCTGGAGTAAACCTCCTGGAGTCAGTGCCATTTTTCCCTAAGTATAAACAACCAAGCGGAGTTTCCACTGTTAATTAATCTCCTTCCTCCTCCCCCTTCCCCTCCAAGAAAAATGGGTTGGTATGTTGTTATTCATTTTGCTTTCCCAAGCTAACAGCTGACAGCATGAAAAAAAAAAAAAAAAAGGAAAAGAAAGAATAGTTCAAAGCATTTCAAATTTGCCCCTAAATTGCTTAGCACAATTCTCCTGTTTCCTGTGGCATCCTTGTAATACACCATTTCCATGGCTAACTAATAAGCGCTTTCAGAAGGGGTAAAAATGGGAAAAGGATCAAGTGCCACTAACTAGCCTAGGCGAGGAGTTATGCTGTATGAGAAATCCTTTCATCTTCTGCTTCAGCCTTTTTTTTTTTTTTATTTTGTCCCCAAGCATTTCTTCACTCTGTTTTTCCTAGTGTCAAGCATGCTTGCCAGGCCTGCAGTTGACTTCTCAACCCTTTAACCTTGTTTTTCCCTGTATTTCACCTTCCTCTTTTTCTCTTTGTCCTGGTTTGGTTTGGAGTTTCAACCCTTTCTTCCTTCCCTTTTTTGACTTTCTGTTCTTGGAATTATATTTTTGTTTTCTTTAATACATTTTTGCAGCCTCCTAGTTCTACCAAACTCACTTCTTCCCCTCTCCCCCCACCCCCCTCCCCCTTGTTAATAGTCATTGCTATTAATTTTGTCCCACGGTACTTATGACCTGTTTGCTGGTGTTTTGTTTTACAGTGGGTTTGGCTTGTAGGACAAATTCATTCCACAATAAGGTGCATTGTATCAGAGAAATTAAGATTTCTTTTTGCTTTATGGTTTGTTGCCATTTGACCTCATCAGCTTTAAAACTAAACTAGATAAGCCTGGTCAGCACTGGAGGAATGACTGCTTCCCCTTCAGTAGGGAGCATTTTCTCCTGAACGGACGTGACGTTTATGACAGAACATCATTTAAGTGCCTGAGCTTGGACAGAGACCCATGGCACATGTGAGGGACCATTGTGTATCTCTGTGGCTCCTGGTGAATTGCCCCACAGACCTTTTATGTTCTTGTAAGTCCCTTCCACCAGGAATAGTGCTGGCATTTATCCCAAAAGTAGTGCAGAGCTGTGCAGTTTTTATTCATTCATTTATTTTTAATCACCTGCTGGCATTCTGTGGTCAATACTGCAGTCTGACCGAAGGTCATCCTCCAGTCTGGATCCTCCAGCGCAAGTTTTCTGGACTTTCTGCTTAATCAAAAATAAGACTTGAGAAAAAAACCCCAAGCTAGACACTCGTTTTTGTCCTAAAACCAGGAATGCAAATCCGCATCTGTAAAGCATCAACACAGAACACACCTGGAGCCTGTTTCAGGGCTCCTTACATAATGTTTCCCCAGCACAGCAGGCAGTGATGCTCTGTGCCCAGCATGAGTGAGACTGGGCTGCATGAGTAGCTCCAATCCAAACATTTCCAGAGCTACTAATGTCTTTATGAAAGTGAAATGTCTCTGATGAATGACATCAGTAACAAGTTGTCATCACTGAACAAGCTGCCACTCTAGATGATAGAGCAGTTCTTTTGCTGGACGCGAAGAGACACAAGTAGGAACCCAGCATTTCTCTGATGCAAGGCACTGCTGGTTGTTGATATTGCTGTGGTTTTGGAGGAGCAATGAAGAAAGAGTCTGAATTTTGTGGCCGGAGCTGAAAACCTGTCTTCATTTCTGTTGGGGATATAATTACAAGCCAAGCTCATGTCTCAAATGTAGAAGGATATTTTGAAATCTCTCCTGTAAAGACAACTGAGATATAAATTGACATGGGGGCAGAAGAACATTGGGTATGAAAACTATCCAAAAAAAAGATAATAAGAAAATAAATTTCTCTTAAGGCCCATAAAATTGGCCTTCATTCCAGCTGTCTTTGCAGAGTAAAACTTCCAAAGCATCTGCAAATTCATGTTATTACCGTAGTGCATTACATTTTTATTTCTAGCAAATGCTGAATGTTTGTCAGTTGTGAAGTTGTTTCTTAGACATTTTTCTTGTTCACGTAAACAGCAACAAAAAAATTACATTTGATTGTAACTGTACGGATGATTGTTCATCCCCAGTAATGTGTTAAGAGCTCATGGTGTGTGTAGTCCTGTTCTCCTTGCAGTCAATAATGAGTCTGCCTGAAGTATGGTGGCTGTCTTTCGGTGTGGCTGTGTGAATCTGTGCAGTGATTTGTAGCATGCCAGCTGTTGACTGTGTGCTCCTTGCCTAGCCATCCTCCATGTTGTGACCTTCTCTGTTTTTGTCCCTTTCTAGAAGCTGAGGAACTGTACCAGAAACGGGTGCTGACCATAACTGGCATTTGCATTGCTCTTCTAGTAGTTGGCATCATGTGTGTGGTGGCCTACTGCAAAACCAAGTAAACTTTTCTCTTCTTTTTTATATCTGTGGTCATTGATCAGGGCCTTCCGAATTGACTGTAGCTTCTGCTCCTCTGAGCATAAGGTTATATCTGGGTTTCTTCAGCTAAGCTGAAGAGACAATCCTGTGGGCAGGGTGCTCTGGTCCAAGCCAGACGGGTGCATGTCTCCATGTCCATCAGCACTGCAAAAATAAGACAAGTATCTGAAAGGTTTCTCACCCTTTAAATGTGACTCGAGCAAATTTCACTGACTTGCAATTCTTTGTCACTCGTTGCAGCTGGTTTCCCCAGCTGGAAAGGAACAAACCTCAACACTGGAATCATGTTGCTCTCTAGCAGTAAATTTTATGTATCAGCCTAGTTTGTTTGTACCTGGGGCAAGATTAATGATGCTAAAAGTTACTAAATACCAAAGGCCGAAGAACTTAATGCAGAAGTGCTCCCAATGTAGAAGTAGGCACTTAAATGCCTTCTGTGAGTCTCTGTAAATTACTGGGGGTGACTCTCAAACATGCATAAGGCACTCTGGACCATAAATTACACCGGACATCAGCAGGATTAGTGCTGCAAAACTTCTGACTGCTCTTATAAATCTCCTTACTAATACATAGAAAACCCTTATCATAAATCTTCTACATTTGTATAAACCTGATTTACTGTTACAAAACCTGATTGGCAGCTGGGTTGTTGGTTTGCTTTGTAAGCCCCACTAATAATGGACGTGTTAAAGTGGGGGAGGAGGGGAATCATTTGCCCTGCTCAGTGAGAGTCTGGCCACACATACACACTGCTCCCACCTACAGCCTTGTGCCAGTGGCCAGTGGGGCACAACTGAAACAGCTCAATTACTGCTTTTAGAAATGACAACTGGCAAGCCAGGGCAGCTAAATAATATATTTCATGGTCCAAAATTCATCAAAAACAGCCAAGACATTCCCATGAAATTTCAACAAACATTTTGTCAGGGTTCTGAAGTATGGTTTTCTATATAAAGGGCCCCCAAGGGGGGAGGGACCCCCATCAAGGGTCTGGATGCTTTGTCACGGTTTGTCTCAGACATCAGCAATCACTGCCAGCCAAAAATGAAATGTTTTCAAACACAACTGGTGAAAGTGAGCTGCCAGTTCATGGCCCTCCAAATGCAGTAGTGATGCCAGACTGCTATCTGTGACATGCTCCCGTGTGCTCTTTCCTCCTAATAAGGAAAAACCCAGAAACCGGGGGAAATGCTGGAATGGTATTAGGAGAACACGCTAAATAAAATGTAATGGCTTAGATTTTATTGGTCTCCTTGCCAAGAGGTACTGCTGGTCAAATGCTAAGGCAATATCTTCTGAGACTTAATTCAGAGATGCTTTATTTGCAAGTCGTTTACATTAAGGGAAGGGCTTCTCGAAATAAGTGAAGTACACATTAGCTTTCCCATTATTCTCTCTTCTCAGTTTCCTAGAGAAAATTTCTTTTTTTAGTTAGTGTCCTTGTACTAGAGGACAAACAGAACACGTGGAGGCACCCAAAATGCAAGTAAATTGATCACTCGAGGGAAGTAATGAGGTTTCCTAGGGACAGATTCCTGGGCAATATGTGCCAGGATCTCAGACCCATAGATTATGAACTCAAGCTCCCTCTAGAACCCACTTTCTCTGCCATGTCGTGGGACTCAGGTTGTCCTCAGCTCTCAAGGTCTCCAAGGTCACATGAAGGAGTGCTGTGAAGCCAAGTTAAACCCCTGTCTGTGTTGCTTCTCAGCCCAGGCTGCTCCTTGAGTAGCTATTCAGATATCTCCTGCTACTGCAGTCTCCATCCGCCTTAATCACCTGTGTGTCCTAAGGTGATGCCTGATCCTCCAAACACAAAGCCCACATGGATAAGGGACAGTGTCCTGCTGAGACAGGAGCATTTCCAAGGCAGCTGTGTGTGCTTATATCGTTCATGTGGAGTGACATAAATGAAACATCTTCTACTATCCAGGACATACACACGGAGAAAATATGTAAAATGCAGTGTGTCAAGTTGTACTTTCTTTGTCCTTAAGCTTCCCTGGCTATCAAACTTCAACGTATTTATTATTTTCCCTCCCCCCTCCTTTTTGGAAAGCTGGAAATAGTCCCCTCGAGTTCAAAATGGGATTGAAAATGGTTATATTTTACACTGTCCTACCCTGCCAAAACTTTCTGCACTTCTGCATACAGCTTAGGAAATTGTGTGTATTTTAGCTCTTGCCACAGTCAAGGTCATATGCACTCTACAGTGCGTTGGAGCCTGCATCCTCCCTTCATTTCCCTGGATCCTGTGACAGGACAGTGAACGTTCTCCAGTATAGTCAGACAAAACTGGGGAATAT